GGACTGTTGCATGCTGGGAATAGGCCACTCTTACTGCATTGCTAATGGTTTTGAAGTTACTTGTACCAGCCTTTGTCTGATTCTTCTTGATCACATATACCTGTTTTTTCTCTGTACCGTCTCCTTGCCCTGATTTCATTTGTTCAAGTGCATGATGAGAATCTGGATGCTGATGGAGTGTACAGGGTGACATTGAAGGAGGAGAGCTGCAGCACTTTAAGTTCACACTTCATTTTATGCATGATGATGTTGGGCCACTTCTTGCTGCACCAGATGTGGGCATGTAGGGTCCTAAAGGCAGCAGGATCACTTCAGTTCTGCTCTAAAGGCAGGTGCAGGCCACGGGGAGACTACACAGATGCTGCTCTGTGGGGCTCAACCTCCAGCTCCATGGGGCTGTTTGGGCGTAAAATGAGGATGTGCTGGAGATGGGGCTGGCATTGACCTCTATTTGGAGGACATGAACAGAGTCTGTTGTATAGGAGGGTTTATGTTTCTGCCAAAAACTCTGCAAGATATGGATAGAGAAGCTGGAAAACTTTGTGTCCAAGCCCTGGGTTCAGCAGAGTCCATCATAGGCTATTCCTGTGTGAGGAGCTCAGATGGATGTGTCTAATCAAGTCCAGGTGAACTCACTCCCACAAGCAGGTATCCCTGTGAAATTCAGCAGAGGTGGTGCATGGGCAGCATATGGGTCAGCAGGTCATAGGTATATTTGCAGTGTCCACACTGAGGTAGCCCATCAAATTACCTGGGGTGTGGTTCAGTGGCCAGAGAGGAAAAATAATCTACCTGGTAAGTAGCAGGATTAATAATAATGCTAATATGCTCCTGTCGACCCACGGCTAGCAGGATCTAGCCATTAAAGAGGAGTGGGTATGCTTAGGATACATGGGAATTTCCAGACTGGATCAGAGCAGGGGCCCATCTAGATGAATGTCCTGTCTCTAACAGCAGCCAACACCAGATCCTTCAGAGGAAGGTGTAAGAATCCTGCACTGAGTAATGGTGGAATAAGTTCATAACCTTGATCGTAGGGGGTGTTTCTTCCCAAACCATGAGTCAGAGGACAGCTTAAACTCACAAGCAGGAGAGTTTATATCCCTGCCAAAGTCTGTTTTGTTTTTTAAATCCTTACTTTCATACCTCTGCATATTCTTGATTCTGGATTGTCTTCTAATTAGGAATATATGCTAATCTTTTATCTGTGTTCTGTGCATATTGTTCAGCAGCATAACTACTATGGTATGAAGATGACTAATGCATTCTCATGTTGGTGGTCACTGATAGAATGCAACTCCTTAAAATCTTGGTGTATTTGGGAAGCATAAACTCGGCTCTGCGTTCCCTGGAGCATTTGAATGAAGGGGTTTTTTTTCTTTTAACTCTTAACAGGATTAAAGATGACATGCACTCAATGTCCAGGCATGTGCCTGGAACTTTAAACATTGTCTTAGCAAAGATTTTTATGTTGGTTCAGACAGTTTGAGAATTCTGTTGCTTCTGCAGGCTCTTCTATGCCAAGTACCCAGAGACTATGTGTAGATGTATCCTGACAGTTAGCAAAGCCCAGTCTGTTCTTCCTGGGGTGAGAGAAGTTAGCCTAATTCATCAGTCATAAATAGGCTTGGCAGAATTTGATTTTTTTTTTAAAATATAATGTTGACAGATAATGTCAATGTTTATTTTTAAAAAATTATAGAGTTTTGTTGATTTAAAATTTCATAGGTGTGGGAAATTATGTGGGGAAGGGAAGATGATAATTATTTAATGACAGTCGATGTTGAGATTCAAAAAGTTAGTTTTTTATAACCATTGAAACACAAATTGTCAACATCACATGTCAAAATATACAAAGTAAATATCCACAAATCAGCTTCTCAAGCAAATTTTTTCTCACTTTTCCTCTGTAAATTGCAATTATTGATTGAAATATTTTTCATCAATTTTAGTGTATATGATGAAATAGACATTTAACCAAAAAAAAAAAAAATCCGCTGGGCTCCATGGGGCTGGGGAGGCTGCAGCGCTGCCGCGGTGCGCTCACCCACCCTCCGCACTCTCCCTCAGGTGGAAGGGGTGGGGCTGAGGGTAGCCTCCTCCACCCAGCGCTTCACCTGCTGCCCATGTGGTGCCGGCCAATGGCGCCGGCCCCTGGGGTATCCCAAAGTGCGGGGCCCGGAGCAGTCGCCCCGATTCGCCATGCCCTAGGGACAGCTCTGAATATAGGTCTGACTTGAAGTACTGATTATTACTGATATTTAAATTACAATGTACTTGAAATCAGAGTGTACATTTATTAATCACCCTTGATTTCTTGTTTTAATTTAATTATTTGATATGTTTACCAGCTACCATGAGCACTTTTATGTAACTATCCCTAGTTTTAGAGATACATAAACATTGTCTTATTATAGAAATAGGGCCGAATTAATCTTTTGTGGGCCAGGCGCCAAATATATTTGTAGGCCCCCATGGGGGCAATGGAACATTGGCGTGGGGAGGCTGGTCCCTGGAACAAGAGGCCGGCCAGGGGTAACGGGGCATGGCATGGCGGGGGCAGCCCCACTCTACCCAGTGTGAGGGCACTGTTTACAAACCATCAGTCGCCAGATACACACTGGACCGCCTGGCCCTGTGCTGCTAGCGTGTCCCTTCCCCTTGGGGGAGGGTCCATGCAGCGCCACCCAGCACCCCCCCACACACAAATGCACAGCACCCTGCACACCCACCACCTCTGCCCAGAGCCCCCCTGCCTTCAGGCCCACCACAACTGCCCAGCACCCCACACACAACCACCACTCCCTAGAGCTCCAACATGCACAGATCTCCCCCACTGTCCAGTACCCTTTCCTACAGCCCCACCACCACAACTACACAGCGCCCCCCCCCCCCCAACCAGACCCTCGCTGCCTAGGATCCCAAAACACAAACCTCCCCCACGCCCTGCCCCCCGGCCCTGCTGAGCCAGAGCAGAGCAGGGATCCCCCCTCCAAACACAGTGCCAGGGGGCAGGACAGCTGAAGCTTGGGAGCACAGAGTGGCCCCGTCCCCCGGCGCTCCACCCAGCCCTGCCTGCCTGGCACTGGAGGTGCCCACAGCGGAGGAGGCGTTTCCTCGCATGGGCTGCTGGGGGCGGGCAGGCAGCCATCAACTTCCCAGCCCACTGCTTCTGCAGAGCAGTAGGGAGAGGTGGGCCCCGCCCCCGAGGAGCCCAGAGCGGACGGTCATCAGCCGAGGGCTCCTCTCCGGCCCCATCTCCAATGGCAGCTGCCTGCCGGTGACGGGGGCAGACAGGAGCCCTCAGCCGGCTGCCGGCCAAGAGGAGCGAGCGGTGGGGGGGGAGGAGCCGGGGGGGTGGAGAGGACCCAGCTGCTCCGGGCGCAGCACAAGTGGAGTGGGCCGGGCCGGGGCCCCTTTTGAATCATTGTAAACCCAGTATTGTCTAGAAATACTGTATTTACCTTAATTTAGATGCAGTCCTCTTTCTCTTCAGTTACTGTGAACACCCATAATGTTCTTAGGAATCAGTCTTGCAGTTAAATTGGCTTCTATGTGAAGAAGAGCCAGTGAAGAAAATCTTTCTTTTCTCATCTATTCTATGAACACATCCAGTTTCTAATCTGTCCCGTAGCAGAAAAACTTTTGGCGATGTGGCCGTTCCAACTGGCAATATGAGAGCTAACTGAATGAGTTTGTAATAGTTTGGGTACATGATTTGAGGTATTTCTTTTTAATCTTTGAAAGGTAACAAGAAATTCAGTACGGGCAAAAAGGTCTATTTCTCCAGCTGCAAGGTGAGGATTTATGATGAGTGGGAATGCATATTTCTGCAAGAGTGGCTGAATGCCATTTTTGTCACAACTTAACACTGAATCACAGACCTCAGCAATTTCCATTGATTCTTTTGAGAATAGTCTCTCTAATTCTACAATTATATAATCCAAAATAGGAAGGTGTAACTGCTGATCTCACTTGTTTTTTTCAGGAGCACTTATAGTCTCGGGTGTTTCATGAGGATTTGTTGGTTCTTCTACATGCTCTCTCTGACCCACAGTTATTGGGACAATGAATTCCATAAAGATTGCCAAGGCTTTTACAATTCTCCTTCTTTTTTCTTGGTTGAAGTATCTTCATCTGGCACTGCAATGTTGCGGTCTCGGCAAAATTCTGAGATTTCTTCCCATGTTTCTTTCCAGCCTTCTTCACGTCTGCATTTTTCAAAGTACACTTTCATTTTTCCTATGATAGATAAAGCATTTGCAAGCATGGTACCAACACCTTGAAGTCCTTTGTGAGAGACATGAACAACTTTCATAATATTGTAGTGCCCCTCTCCACCTCTTTACCTCTTTTAATGCCAATCCACTTACAGGTTTTGATGGAGAGGTCTGGGTTCTTTTGGATTCCGCCACCCACTCAGCAGGGTGTATCTTCTTTCTTTTTTTCCTATGAAATTATTTGGCGGTGCCTCCACCCCCCTCGCTCCTTCCTGGCAGGGTCACCAGGGCAGCTTGGGCGGAAAATTCTAACTACAGAGTAATCCCCACTTGCCAGATAGTTGGAGACTTCCAAGAAATAAACACAAACACATAAAAATATATTCAACACAATAATTATATTAAACAGGAGACAAATACAACATAACAGGGTGAAACACTATTTTTAGGGTCACCGGTGCCCACACTGAAAATACACGCGACTTGATGTAGCAAATGTAAAATTAGTGTCCTGTTGGTACGTGTACTTTGCTGGGGCCCTTGATGACATATAACCACAAAATTCTTCTCTGCAGTGGTTTAGCAGTGTGGCTGACTGGGTTCAGTACAGCCCAAAGGACTCACAAGTGGGAGGAGGTGGTAAATCCCTCCACAGGTGTAATATGCAGCAGGTTATAAAATCCTCAAACCCTTACTCCCTGGCTTGAGGACACAGTTCAGGGAGTAGGGGGTCCCCAAAACAAATTCCCTGATTAACTAACTAAAAGATGGTGCACTCACAAACTCCATGAATGATCCTCAGGTTCGAAGATGACGCTGGACTCCTCAGTCACTGCAGAGGGGCTGCTGTCTGCTGGCAGGAATCCTCCTCAGGCAGGAATCAGGCTGTGTCCGTCCCAAGATTTCCCTTCACCACAAAGGGGTGCAGGGCTCAAGGTGTAGGTTATACAACTACACTAACATCCAAACTTTAGCCTCCTAGCCCAGCCTCCAGTCACACACTCAGCAGGCAGCTTCCCTGGACTAGCAGACAGAGCAGAACTGACCATGTGGTGACTGATCTCACCTAGGGAGCTGGAGGGCGAACTCAGCCTGGCTGGAGAAATTTCCCAGCAAATGCTACAAATTGGGAATCATCAATGGGGAAGGAAAAACCCAGCTGAGGGATCTGCTGTCAGATCCCTAGAGGCCTGTTCTCAGGGGGAACCATGCATGCAGGCCTGGGACTCACCAGCTCCTCACACAGCCAGTCCTGCCCTTTTCATGGCTGGCTCCAGACTGATTACAAAATGGCTTCTCCCTGGGAGGGTCTGTCACTCCCTATTGGTTGCTGGGCAGACTCTGAGTCTGCCTTGGCTCCCCCTCCCTACCAGGGACAGTGTGCCTCTCCCTGAGCTGCCAGCAAACAAGAGTCCCAGGAATCTATGTAATCTCCTTGGGGGTTACACTATGCTGAAAGATAATCACGCAATGAATGAAACTCCACACATGATAAAGGCCATTTGCTTCTACAGACCACTTTTTGCCTTGTTCGCTGAGTTCTTTAAGACACCGCATGATGGTAGTGTATTGCGTTTTTACTGCAAACACACTTTTACATTTACATGGCCAATGCGTGTCACTGGGCTGCACAATCTCTTGACGCTTAAGACCTAAAGCTTTCTGCATGTTGCAAAAACTCTGATTGCTTGGCTCCACAAAGACTGAATACAATTTCTCAATTATATTAAGAAAGCCCACAGGACTTCAACTTACTTTACAGCATTCCACGAGGATGAGGTTGAGTTTGTGTGCCATACAATGTACATATATTGCAGTTGGATGGTCTTTTTCATTAAGTGCTGAACCCCAGCTACATGTCCTGTCATCACAGAAGAACCATCATAACATTTGTTAGTCTATAAGGTGCCACTGGACTCTTTGTTGCTTTTTACAGATCCAGACTAACACGGCTACCCTTCTGATACTTAACATCATAAGACTGCGCAACAATCAGCAGATTCTGTAATCCAGTTGTCTCCAAAGCTTTTCTTATTGCAGTATAAATGCCATTTGCATTTTGGGAAGGCGAGCAATTGATGAAGCACACAAACCTTTTTTTAATCCCTAGGTCTTCGTATCAGATACAAACTGAAAGCTGCTCTGTCTTAAATGACCTGGCCTCATCTGAAATTACAGCAAAAAAACCAGTCTCATTCACTGCCATACAATTTCTTTGCAAATTAAATCTGCACAAATCTCTAGCACTTCATTTTGAAAGACAAGGCTTGTGTAGTTAAAATAATTTGCCTGCATTTTCTTGAAAGTGGCATCAGATTTTGAAAAGAAATTACAAAATTAAAGAAAATTCCCTTTCAATTTAGATTCTTTTCCCTCATCATGTCCTCGAAATGATAAACCAAGCTTTGAAAGTAACTTGACAATATCACAAATCTTTGTAAGGTAATCTCAGTTTCTGTCCACACTACTTTTATGATTTGCTGAAATAGGGTTACCATATTTCAACAATGAAAAAAGAGGACACTCCACGGGGGCCCTGGCCCTGCCCCAACTCCGCCCCTTCCCTGGCCCCGCCCCAACTCCACCTCAGCCCCGCCCCTTCCCCAAAGTCCCTACCCCAACTCTGCCCCCTCCTCTGAGCACCCTGCATGCCCCCTCCTCCCTCCCGCTATGATCTTGGTTGGGGGTTGCTAAGTGCTTCCCTGCTCCCCACTCGTCCTGCAGCCCCTGCACCCCCACCCCTGCAGCCTCTGTGACCCCTGCTCCCCACTTGCCCTGCAGCCTCTGCCCTCCCCGCCTGCTCTGCCCCTGCACCCCCCGCCCCTGCAGCCTCTGTGACCCCTGTACCCCACT